GCCACAGCCTACCTGAGTATTGTTGCTGACCATGTCCATCCCTTTATGACCACAAAACCGTTACTAGCGTGGTGTACCTAATAAAGTGGCCGGTGAGTGTATTTGTAAATAATAAATCAGCTAACATGTATTAAAGCAGTGATTCTCAACCCAAGTCCTCAAGGAKTCCTGTCCTGCATGTTTAGATGTTTCCCTGGTCTGACACACCTGGTTTGAATGAATGAGTGATTGACAATCTTCTGAAGACCTGCTGAATGGAAACAAGTAAAACATGCTGGATAAAAGATCAAAGGAAGATGGCAGAAACAATGGGAAGAAGAAAGAACTGGCAGGTGGTTCTATAGCGTTCAACGAAAGGTTGGCACAATMAGGCAAACAAGAAGAAATAAAAAGGAAGAAATGGTAATGTCTTGATTAAGATTTGGTCATACAGGTATAAATAAGACATTATTTAGAATAGGAAAACGTGCTACAGGAAAATATGACTTATGTTTTCAAGACGAAACTGTAGAACATGTAGTGTTGTTTTGCACCACGTTTGTTGTTGAGAGAAGGGAACTAGTACGTAGATTACAGGACAATAAATTGAAACTGGATATACAAGATCTTTTGGACAAAGACTCAAGTGGTAAATCATTTTCATTRATATTTAGATATCTGAAAAAGACAAAATTATTGGAGAGAATATAATTTGTTTTTTTACCAACTGTTATATAGACTGTATAAAGCATTCTGGTCCACACTCCATTCCAGTAGGTGGCGGTAAAGTACCTAATAGTTGTTTGCCAACCGCCATTAAAAAAAGATGAAGATGAAGAAGAAGAAACAGGGGTCCTTGAGGACCAGGGTTGGGAACCACTGCAGTAGATGATGCAGGTGTTGTGCTATTTTAGCATCTTGTGAGCTTTTTCTTCAGGAAATGTGACTCTTTATCTGGAACATTATTTAGTCACTGAGAAAGAAACACTCCTGTTGTTTAAACAGTTCTTAATACTGAAGCTTTCCTGAGTTCATTGATTTTTCTCAGTTGTAGACTTATGTGGTGGCTCTTGCTTTTGCAGTTTATTATTATTATTGTTGCTGTTGTGTTTTAACATACCACATTCAAGGAACTCAAAACATTAAGGAAGATGGTTTGTTCAGAGCACCTTGCCCTTGAAGTCATAATCACCCCTGTGTGTTTTTTTCTGTATCCAGGCACCAGGAGTCACTGATGTGCAGGATAAAACTGATGGGTAGACAAGTGTTATTTAATTGATAAAACTTTGTAAATTTCATTGAATAATTCAATTACTTTAAAGTAGAGGGTGTGATAATCAATTGATCTGATTACTGTCCATTTGTTTTTGTTTTCTTGTTTTTTGATATAGTTTTTGAGCCAGCCTGTAACATTTTGTGCCTGTTAGTCATCTATCAAGTGACAAAAATCAGTCAACTTCAAACTTCTCACCATCGTTACTTKATTCGGACACACTGTTTGTTGTCGACACCTCACCTGCACATGAAAGCGATCAAAAGTCATAATAGGTCCAAAGAAGAAGAACGGGAGGTAGAAGTTGTATCTCAGGAGGTCAGAGAAGGTGTAGTTGCCTTCCTTCCTGTCACAGTTCTCTAAAGCAAAACTCATACAGCGCATGATGCTGAAGCCACAGCCTCCATAGAACAGGATGTCTTGTAGGTCGAAAGAACCCGTCACCAAGTTCTCCTACAGGAGGGGCGAGTCATTAAATCACAGTATACTTGTACTTCCTGAACATTTTTCATTTTTTWATGTATGTTTCTGTTAAATTAGAGCCTGCGACTTAAGGATATGTGTGAAGGAACCACCCACTCACCTGCCAGGAGTTGTAGGGCTCCAGCTTGATGGAGGCCAGCGTGCTCAGGCCTGCAGCGAAGCACATCCACCTCTTCTTGACCAGAGCGACGCTGTAGAGGATGATGCAGTGAGACAGAACCACAGCCATGAAGGTCCAGCCCATCGTGATCAGAACTGCCAAACCACCATATACTGCAAAGATCAGGGATCTGTGCTGTGGGGAAAAAGAGGCCGGTGTCAGCGTGATGGCATGAAAATCATTTCTCTRAATTTATTACAGCAATAGAAACAGCAGTGCTGGGTCAAATATAGTTTTAACACCAAKACTGGAAATATATTATAATGCCTACAGGCCTTAAATTATAAGTTTACAAGTTTCAATAAAAACACATGGCAAACATTAGAAATTTCTCAAGTTTATTAGGGTTACATCTATCTATACCAAACTTCAATGTAAACATGCAAAACAAAAATTAACTTTAAAGTATAATGAACTGGTTTAAAATAAAAAAATAAAATAAACAAGTGCAGCCAACAAACAAAATCTTAGAATAACAAACCAAAGCTCATGCATAAAGTCAAACGTGTTGGACCTTGAATTATATACATTGTACTATCCCTAGGCCTGCACAGTTATTTAAATTGTAATATCATTGAGTGCAAAATATGTATCACAAGACATTTTAATGAATCACAGACATAAACTGCATCCTAAAAATATATATGTAACCACCAGATGGACCTCCACTACCCTWACTGCACAGTCAGCATTTGGAGAATGTTGTGAGTATTATGATGAATGATGTCATAATGTCATTGCATTATTCAAAAATATTATTGCATTGCATATTTTTCATTATTGTGCAGCCTTAATTGTTATGGGACTTAACATGGGATTGATTTTATTTATTTATTTCTAAGCACTGTTGGTTCATCAGTATAGCGTCATTTTGCATGCCATAACAACTTTGATGGATTTATCTGACTGATGTAACATTTGTACAATACACACTCCTTTACATGTACAAAACGCTCACACAGCAAAATAAACACAAGCAGAAAATGCATGCAGTCATGACGATGAAAGTGTGCAATCCCCCACACATTCACTGCAATTCCTTTTCTTTGAGACACACACCTTTGGTGCTACCACGGTAAATATCTTGGCAAAGATCACATGACCAACTAGAGCAAAAAGGATGTGATTGCGGAAAGTAGAGAACCACATCACCCACTCGAAGTCTGCAACATCCTGCAGCATAGAAAGGCACATTAGTGATGCTTCACTCTGTTTAGGACTGTTTATGAGGAAGCAAATGAAAACTAAACCTTACCATTTTCCTGCCAAAATAATGCCATCCTGGTTTCACACTTTCTTTGAATGTCTTTCTGCTCACGTTCTCTAGAGACATAAAGATATTTAACAAAAAAGTGTTCAGTTTTTATAGAGATATAACAAAATAATTACCAAACAAAATGCATATTTTTGTATATAAAGAAATATGTTTAATCAGTTATGCAAATTAAGGCAAATCATTCTACAGATGTGAAATGTGAAATTCAGGCTTCAGGTAGCTTTAGTATTTTTAGCTGTTTGAAATATCACTAGTTCTTTAAACACCAACAATCCTGCATGTATTGAGTATTTTAAAGGCTTTGCTCTATTAGATTATCCACAGTGTGACTTTAGCCCATCTTGTCCATTTACTAAAATCAAACATTACYAAACACACTTGCTGTACAGCTTTCTATTTATAAGGCTGAAGTATTTAATAATAAACTCCTAATCTTGTTAAAGAAAACAAGTTCRTTGTGCAACTTCAACAAAACATCCCAACACAAATAAAACATGTAAAATTTAAAGGTATAACAGTAACAGCAGTGGTGCTGAGACATTTAATGTACAGCAGCAAATGGTTGAAATACACCTCCACAGAAGCTCCCACAGCTTTTCCTGATTACACTAACAGCTGTGAAAAAGGATTTCATGACGTGAGGGCAGGTCAGGGAAAGGCTCTTACTTCTGGGAGAGCAGCCAAACTTCTATTACCAGTAGATATACTGCGGCATACAGACATGAACTTTAAAACGGCTCACACACAGTAGAATTTAAGAGACAGACAGTAAGCACTCAGAAAACAGAAGAAAACGGCCACAGGCTGTCAGGCCCATCTGACAGCACAGACTGTGACAAACAGTACCAGCCACCAGATTTCACTCTGCCCAGTTAGATCAACATAACATGCAACGGCTGCTTAAAGTATTTCAGAGTCTGATTATTTGCCAACATTGATGAGTTTTGTGAAAAAACAGTATTTTTAAAAAAATGGACTGCAGTTTAGATTATTATTATTATTATTATTAACATACAAGGCAATTAGATATAACGCATAGAGATGTGATTATTTGACTGATATAATATAAAATCATACAATATGATATGATGATATGATATGATGTGATATGATTGATATGATATCATATATCATATGCAACAATACAATACAACATGATACAATTTGATATGACACGATACAGTAGGATAGGATAGGATAGGATACCATACCATACTATACCATACCATACCATACCATTGACGCTCACGTGAACTTACTGTGTAAGAAGGCCCATCAGAGGATGTATTTTTATTGAAAGCTCTGTGGTTTTAATGTTGATTCTACTTTTATTATAATGTTTTATTCCTGTTTTATTGAGCCTCTTTTACTTTTACTTTTGTCTGTTGGTTTGGCATTGTAACATGTAAGAACAAAACCAAACTCTTGGGGATTGTCAGGATGTGCAGCAGAATTGCTGMAGTTGACCAACAGAACCTCCCTGACCTACATAAGGTCAGGTCAGTGAAAAAGGCCAGACTTATTCTGGCAGACCCTGATCACCCACTCCATGGTGAGTTCAGGATTCTTAGGTCTGGACGCAGGCATCAGTTGACCAAACGTAGGACTAATAGATTAAAAAAACTTATTTATCCCAGCAGCAGTTCAATTTCTTAATGAACACTTGTGGTCTTTTTTGTTTTTGTGTATGAATGTTTTTGTTTTGTTTTTATGTCTACTGGCTGTGCAACAAATTGCTCCTTGGGGATAATAAAGATTCTTGAACTTGAACTACCATACCATATAATACGATGCATTACGATATGATGCAATATGATACAATATTAAGCAATGCAATATGATAAGAGAATACAGTACCATACAATACAATGCAATATAATATGATAGGATCTCTTGAAATACCTTGGTGTGGACCAGGTGCTGTTTGTACTTGGCCAATGTGCTTTATAGTTACCAAATCACAATCAAAAGAAAAGGATGAATTGTCCAGCTCTCTTTGGAAGAATGTCCTCAGTTTAATTAATTGCTTAATTTAAACTAACTCCATTGAGAAATAMGATCTTTTTTAATCTGCAGAATGAACTACATATTTTTTACACTGAGCACAGCAGCAGACGAAGACCCACTTTTTGAACTGGCCACATYTTTAAAGAGTTTTCTGTCATTTTTAATTGCAGACTTTTTGTTCATAAACAGCTTCACCAAGTGGCCATTCATCCTGACCTCTTGAAAACAGACACCAAGAGGTTGTGCTAGATTTTTAGTTTTAGCCCGACAGCAAGTGCTTTGGACATGACTTGAAAGAGGTGTTCACTCACCACTCGAGGCCTCGAATATCCAACTGCCTGCCCATATCAGTGCACCAGCGAGCACGGCAGAGTAGAGATAGAGCTCATATCTGGGGAGAGCAGCTTTGATCCCCATGGTGAATCTGTTCTCAGGAACCCTAACAGGGCCGGAAAAACAGATTTAGCGCAGAACGTTAGATCTGTCTGAAAGAAAACTACTTCATGCACGTGAATATGGACAGGAACAWTCTGATGCAAGAAAGTGGATTATTTGAGGTTTTCAAAGTTAAATGTGAGGAAATGGGAATCAGTTTGAGTACTTTTACAGAGGTAGTAAACAACCAAAATGTATAAAAAATAAATAAATGAAGCCATCAGTATTATTTATAAAACATGGATATTCTTGGTAGTAATAAATAATTTTATGCCCAGCTAAGGTATTTACTATAAACCAATGTATATTTTAGGTGCCAAACATTGAGACTTTTATGCCAGATGAAGACCTTTATTAAAACCCATTTCAGTATTTAAAAAAAAAAAACTTTTACAAGAAGGTATTTCACTAATAAGCCTTTTGGAGCATTGACTTAAATAGGACTGCAGAGCTCTGGCTCCTCGGAATCAGCACCGTCAGCTGCGCAATCCTACCTCGCCTTTCCTATTATAGCTCTAGCAGTTGGTCTGCTGCAGAGCTATGTGATCCGAGGACTGGGACTCACACAATAATTAGCCCTGACTGCAATGACCAAGAAAGGTGTACGGAAGAAAGAAAACTATACGGATCGTTACTTCCAAGCGCACAAATGGCGCGCCTGGCACCGAGCGCGCGCGTCAGGTTCATGCAAGAGATGAAGTTAAATGAGTAAAAAACAAAGTCTGCTGTGCTCGAGCCACCATGTTACCATGGTTTTTGTGGGACTCCAGCAAAGTGCCCTGCATACAAAATTCTACCAAGCGCAGTGATCACTTTTTTTCTCCTCCATCCACTAATTTGTAAATAGAATGTAATGAAAAACATAAACTGTTTCCACCAACCTTGATCCCGCTGCACACAGTCAGTGRCAGGGCAGGACTCGACAACAAAGAGATGAAACAGCAGAAAAACAAGTGGCAGCAACAGCAGGTTCACTGATTCATCCGTCCCTGTGCGGGCTTTCCTCTCAGTCAGGATGTTGCGGGCTCAACGGCAGGAGGAGGGGGGCGGAGGGG